CTTGAAGGACCGGTTACTATTACTCTCAACAGCAAAGTGAGCTGAGCAGGGAGCAAAAAATATCAGAGTGTTCTGGAGAGATTTCCATCAAGCATCACATAAGTTCTGCTAGACAAGATCTAGCATCGTAAATCCCTGGCCTAAAAAACCCTTCCTGGGGACAGGGAAGAATAAAAGGCAGCTTATGTTCAAGAATCCATTGAGTTACCTTGGCTCATAGCTAGCCTTCGATTGAGCTGGGCTCTCGAGAGAACAAGAGCAAGGTGAAATGAATCCCAAACACCTTCTTTATCCCTTTGAACTAAGGGCAAATTATGTAAGTAATCTTAAGTCTTTTAAAATGATTGACCAGTACTTTGAGATATCAGAGAGTTCTGTGAACATTTCCTCTAAAGCACAGCTCTGCCTTCCTCTTCACATATGTGCTAGACATTACTTTCTATCACAGACTCATTTGTGATTGCATTATTTAAATCATTGCTTAAAACAGATAGGGATTGGGGGAACTGTCCAAGGTCACACTGCTGGTGACAGAGCCAAGATTTATCCTCAGTCTTGTTTCCAACTCTGAAGAATTAGTCTCTTGGGACCAGCAGATGGTGTAATGGTTACATTGCTGGACTCCCATGTAGTTGACTGCAGTTCAAGTTCCAAACCCAGGGGCTTAAAACTTGAGTTGGGCAAATGTTTGTGCACACCCAAAATCCCAAGAGGAGAATGGAGGAGAAGGGATAGTATGGCCATCCCCCCAGGGGGTGATTTCTCACTGTCTCTTTGTGTGTGTATCTCTCTGTCTCTCTGGTGAGTGCACATGCTCTATGGAAAAAATAATCTTTAAAAAATTAGTCTCTAAATCACAGTGCTTTTTTATGACACCAAATTAAATTTTTAAATTTTTTTTAATCTGCCAGAGAGTGTGTATGTGTGCACAAGAGAACAAGAGAGAGAGAGAGAGATACCACCCACCCCCACCAGTGGTGCTTGGTTGCACTACGATCCTTTTTCCTCCAGTTCTCTATCTCATTGGGACCCTGAGCACATGCATTTGTGCCAGCATGTTTCTCAAGCCAATGGGGCCCTGTCTTGAACCCTGGTTGGCCATATGGGATCCGGCTCCCTCTGCACAGTACCTAACCACTGTGCTATGGGTCCATTCCATCAAATTATAACTTAAGGTTGCACATCTACAATGGCGTAGAAATTACCTGACTTTGAAATGTATACCTATTTATAATAAGACACTTGATACCAGTTTAACTACTACTATAACAAGAGCTTTCAAATTGAGGCACATATTTTGCTGAATTTGATTAAAACTTTAAAGGGTTTAAGTACAAAGATATTTTTAAAGAAATTATTTTCTAGTTCCTCAGATTATACACACACACACACACACACACACACACACGTGTATACATATATTTTTTTCTTTTCCTACATCGGTTTAACTGACTGTGGGGGCAAATATTACCATGTTACACTGCAATAGGCTGTGAAACTATCCGGGACACTAAGCTAATGGATAACCCAAGATATTAATGTCAGTAAAAAGAAGGAGAACTCACTCTATAGCTGTTAACAAATCCTTTTGCAAGGCACATGATTTTCAATTATTTGTTTTTAACAAAATTAAACAGAATTTAAAGAGTTGTTAGTGAATAAGTAATAGAAATACATTTTAATGATAGATAGTATATTTAAGTCATATAATTTAGAGTAAGTTTTTAAAAATTAATGGCTCTGCTACTAAAAACCAATTGTCAACTTTTCTCAATACTACAAATTAAATACAAAACCAAACAAAATAGAACGGACATTGACACTTGATTAATTCTAGGAATAGTAATGGTTTTTATAAACTACTTTTTAAAGAAAATCATTCATCTCTTTGCAATACATTTCCAATAAAGATTTACTTTCTACATTTAGTAATATTGCCTCAGAATCTCCACATTTGTTTAGTGTTGCTAAGTTGTGCTACTAGTTACAATTATGAAGCTAATTCAGTCCAGAAGAAATTGGTTTTTAACACATAGAGCCTTACCATTATAGAAATTCTACTAAATTTTATATTTGTAACATCTTTTTGTTACAGAGAGGTATGGTATAGTGCTCAATAAAAGCCCTAAAACACATCAAAATATATTAAAAGGTTAAAAATGTATTCCAGTAGAAAGAATTTATGGAAGTATGGCTCATCAATGGAAATAAGATGTAAGAGTTCAGAAAGAGATCTGAATAAAATAAATTCCATTGTTACCATTTTTTTAAAAAAAAAACATTGAGCACCAAATGACAATGGCCTTTAGATTCCATTGGCTACATTTTAAAGTGATATAATAATTTCATTTAAAAAATCAGCATTTAAATAGTCTTAAATTCCATCCTTTATTACCTTTCAAAGATTTAGCTGTCACTGTAGAAATAGTTGAAGAAGCACATCACTGTTTTCAGAAATTTTTAGGTTACTTAAGCAAGAACTGTTAAAGACCTCTGCAAGATGATATTAAAAGTAGTCAATACAGTTATCAATATTTGTGGCCACTGTTATATGACACAAAAATTCAAGCAAAACCAGAACAATTTGGTAAAATAATCTCAGGGTGATTCAGAAGAAGCTCTCAGTGCTGAGTGGTAGAATGGTGGTTTGGGTTCCATTCTCAGTTGCTGTTTTAAGACTGCATAGATCCCTCGTTAACCTAGCAGGCTTGTAAACAGGAAGAAGCCAGGGTGGGAATGCATTTCACTAGGGAGGGAAAATTACCTGCCACAGCTCTGCTTGAATTATGAGCAGAACCCCAGCTAGGACTCACTCTCTCTACTTTCAAGTTAAAATTAGGTTATTGAGTTGATTATAGCTCTAAGGTTCCGCAGCTCAGCTTGTCCTCATCTAGGTGGGTGGGGTACGCACCATAATGACGCTACTGTGGTTTTCCATCAGTCCTAAGGCAATGTCAGGAAAGGAGGGAGGAATAAGTGGAAGAGAATATCAAAGAGAAAAAGGAGAAAAGGAAGAGAAGTGGAGATGGAGAGGGAGAAAGAAAAAGTGTGGAAGTTGAAGCTGAGGAGAGTGAGATTCTTTTTTTCTTCTTTTTTTAATTGACATATAATTATACATATCCATGGGACATAATGTGAGAGGTTTTAGTACACAAGAATATACTGTGTATTATTCATATCAGGGCAATTAGTACATCTGTCATCTCAGCCATTCATCGTTACTTTATGCTGCGAACATTACAATGCGCTCACTTACAGAGCTCACCAACCTTCCGACACACACCAAGACAGGGCTTCTGTTAAACCTCCCTTGAAAGACAGTTCCTGAGCAACACATGTCAGAGCTGAGCTTCCATCACCAAACTGCACCATGTATCAGTTCTCAGTTATCCAAACACCCCAGTGACCTGAATGGGATGACAGCTATTAAAATGACACCCAAGTCAACCACCAAAATGTATGCTGATATGTATTCATTGTCATGGAACTTTACCACAATAATTCCAAAAAGCAAATTACAAAAGTACGTATGATTTCCTTTTGCTTAAAAAGTTACAACATGGGGGCTAGCAGATGGTGCAGCAGTTATGTCTCTGGACTCCCACGTGGCCAACCACAGTTGGAATCCCAGACTGGGCAATTTGAAACTCAGGCTGGGTGCATGTGCATGCCTACTCAAAACCCCTGGAAGATAATGGAGGCAAAGGAATTGCAGTGTGACTATCCCCCCAGAGAGTGATTTCTCACTCTCTCCCTCACTGTCTCTGTCTTTCTCTTTCTCTCTCTCTCCAGCAAGTACACAAGCCTAAGACAAAAACTTCTAAATAAAAGTTACAATGTGTGTAGGTAGATGTGAAGAAAATATCTGAAAAATAGCTTATCAATGTCCAACTCAAGTCATAATCTCCCTGCAGTGATATTCTCTTGCTAAATTTTGTTCCATTAATAGTGTTTCCATTTCTCAAAACATCCAAGTTTAGGCCACCAAAACCACCTGAGTCTTCACCCCTTCATTCCACAGTCGATAAGCCCTGTCAGTTCTCTGTACTATAAGCACTTTCTCTCCTTTTGCAGTGCCACGTTGGCACCCAGGTTCATGTCCTATGTCTTAGCTCAGCAATTGCTAACTCAACCTCAAGTGTTTTCCCTTGTAATCTTCTCCATATTGGCTTGACATTTTTTAAGTTTATTTATTTATTTATTGAGAGAGAGAGAAAGGAAGAAGGAAAGAGAGACATCCCCAACAGGGTCTTATACCTTTATCTCTCTCCAGCCTTCCGGCCACACATTGTGCCTGGTGTGTACAGGTCAACCTGGGAACCAACCTTAATCCTCCATATGGTTTCCAGCATTGCAGAGCATTGTGCTACTGCTACACCACCATAGCTGGGTCAATGACATGTTTTAAAAGGAGTATTTTTTTGTTATTTCCAGCCTCTACCCTGTAAAACCAAACTCCTTAGCCTAGTACATAAAGCTCTTCATGATCTGCCCCTAAACTGACATTGCAAACCTTGCCTCCTATGTCACCTCTACTTCCCATTCAATAATATTGACCATTTCTGCAGCATCCCCTGAAGTTTAGTAGCTTTACAGCTGTGTTCGTGTCTTACCCAAGCTCACATCTTCCCCCCATCAGGTTTCCTTATCAAAAAAGCTTCATCCTACAGAATCCCTTCAAATCTCTACTCTCTTGTGAAGCTTTTCAAAACTCACATGAAAAACTTAAGTGTTTGTTCTGTCTTTCCTTGGAGTCCTTACCTTTGTTGTAGCAGATATTCTGATCTTACTGCAGTTATTTATCTTCCCTGAAAGTTTACAGGTCTTTAGAGAGCAAAAATTCTGTATTATTCATTTTGTGTTACTAATGTTTATTCCACAGTATTAGCAAAATGAGAATTTAATAAATAAATTAATGAGAAAACATCATCAATGTTTTTATGACACTGCTTCCTTTAAGTTATGCAAATGTGTGCTAATTGTATGTTTCTCTGTAACAGGTGGTGTTGGAAGTAAACAGTGAATTTATTGTTGAGGTAATGTATAGTAAAACTATTTTCTCAATTTTTAAATTAAAAGAAAAATTGAATTTTGTAATGCATCATATATGGAAAATTCGAATATTTGAAATAATCGCCATGGTAAAAGTTAAGTTAAAGAACCTCTGCTGAACTGGACTAACAGTAGTAAAACCATACATCCAACTTCCCATGCTTATAGGACAAGCTTTGCAACAGCTTGGAATCTTAGTAACCCCTATTTACCAAACAATACTAGGAGCTTATTCGTGTGTTTACCAATCTATAGCAAAGGAAATAAAGTAATACTTTAGAAAAATTTTAGACATATCAGCAAGAAAGCTAATACCAAAAAAATGATATAATCATAGATGAAAAGAACAGAATATTTAGTACCATTGAGAGTTGAACTCAGGAAATGAAGCTACCATCCTCTGTCTCTGCTGGGGTCTTATTGTATTATAATAGTTCAATTTTCATTACAATCATCTGAGAGGAAAAAGTTCCTTTTCTAATCTTTGTGGGCAAAATAGGATACAAGTATTATATTTCAAGACACTGTATCAAAATGGAAAAAAATGTTAATGTATTTATCCTTGGAAGGATAAACTATTCACATGAAACCTCTCCTTTCCCCCAAAGTGGTAATTAAATGAAGCCTTAGCTTAAATAAACTTATAATCACCTATGTCTCAATAAGTATATGAGGACTGACAAAAATAAATATACATGTCTGTGTTCATACAAGTATACAAATATGTTTGTGCATGTAGTAACAGTTCTAAACACCTTAATAGTATAAAATTACATCTCTAATTCAAAATCCAAAATGCTCCAAAATCCATAAATTTTTGAATGCCACCATGATTCCACAGGTAGGAAATTCCATACCTGACTTCACATGGTAGGTTGCAGTCAAAATGCTGTGATATAAATGTATTGTATAATTGCCTTTAGGTTATGTTTATAAAGTGAATATGAAACATAAATGAATTTCATGTTTAGGCTTAAGACTCTGTATCTAGATAGGTCATTATGCATCTGTCAATAAGACAAATTCCAAAAAAATTGAAAATCCAAAACACTTCCAATCTCAATAATGATGAAAAGGGATATTCAACATGTGAAAGCATCAACCAACAACAGCAACATAGGACTATAAAAGGAAAAACGTGCACTGAGCAGAGATACAAACACACGGCATTGAGAAGCCACACAGGTGGCATAGGATTACTACTGGTGCTATCAATTCAGTTAATAATTTTCTTCTCATTCTGCAATAAAACATCAGGTGCTTAGCTACCACAATGTCCTTATCAAGAGAAGAGAAAAATCTCTTCCCTCTCTTGGGTGAGCACAACTTACCAGCACAACTTTCATTTTGTCTGAAATGCACTTATATGAAGCAATAGCAATGTTTAAACTCTGGAGGTAGTAAGTCAATGAAGGGTGAAGTAGGCAAGTCCTCTACCCAGTGAGAACTGAGTAAGAAAAGAAAACCTATGTCATATTACACAGTCTAGTACCTTAGGAGCTGGTGAGCTTTGTTTCACTAGTCATACAGTCATAAGTGAGTTGATTCCAAAAGAAGTAGCAGTCAGGAGTGATCAACCTGTATCTAGCTAGAGGTGTGAGATAGTAAAAACCTTTTTTTACTCTTCAAATTCAATACCATTTTTTCTTCTGGATATACCTTATGATGTCAAATAAAGATATTTATTAAGCAAGAGGGTCATAACAATATTAAGAAATGTGAACCATTTTTGCTAAAGGTGAAAGAATTGGACATTGAAAATGGCACTACAAAATGGCAAACTGTCAGAAGACAAAAGCGGGAGTGGATCAAGTTTGCTGCAGCCTGCAGAGAAGGAGAGGACAACTCGAAGAGGAATCCAATTGCCAAAGTAAGTGATGAGACAAGCAGGAGTATCCTGAGCTGATAGCAAATATTAAAGAACATGGCGGGAAAGCACTGAAAAATTGTCAGCATTTCTGGCCTTCGCTGCTCTATAGTGATTTAAAAGGATGGCGATATTATTTGCTGGGGTTGCCGGGCCACTGGTTTGAACACCATGTGCTGCAGACTGATGCTGGCCAGAGGATCGTTGGCAAGTGAACCTAGAAAAGAGACTTACATGTTCCTAGGATCCTGATAGGATGGAGAATTGGAGTAAGGACTGCAGTATGACTAGTCCCCTTTGGGGAGCTCTCTCTCTTTCCTCCTCCTCCTCTCTTGCCTACATACACAACCTACAACTGAGGGGGAAAAAAAACTGTATTATAGTTGAACTAACCAAAATTGTATTGATATTTCCAGCTATCTTTATTTAACTATGAATGATGGGGGACAAATCTTAAGATTTTACTGGATGGGGCCATCAGGTGGCATGGTGGATTCCCACGTGGTCAACTGTGGTTTGAGTCCCAGACCTGGTAGCTTGAAACCCAGGCTGAGCACGTGTGCATGTGTGCAGGAGGAGAATAGAGGAGAAGAGATTATGGCATGACCCATCCTCCTGGGGCTGATTTTTCACTTTGTCTCTCTCTAGTAAAAGTATGTACCCTATAGCAAAAAAACTAAAAGAAGAAAAGACAATTTCACTGTTTTCATTTTCAATATGTAGGTGAGATTTCAAAATTTAAATTTAGTTCAAATTTATGAGCAATAGATATAAATCTATTAAAATATATATGGCAGATATTTCACATAAAAATGTTAGGTCATTGGGAAAGTCATGACATATTTTTTAATGTTTTTCGTAAGTGATGAGACAAGCAGGAGTATCCTGAGCTGATAGCAAATATTAAAGAACATGGCGGGAAAGCACTGAAAAATTGTCAGCATTTCTGGCCTTCGCTGCTCTATAGTGATTTAAAAGGATGGCGATATTATTTGCTGGGGTTGCCGGGCCACTGGTTTGAACACCATGTGCTGCAGACTGATGCTGGCCAGAGGATCGTTGGCAAGTGAACCTAGAAAAGAGACTTACATGTTCCTAGGATCCTGATAGGATGGAGAATTGGAGTAAGGACTGCAGTATGACTAGTCCCCTTTGGGGAGCTCTCTCTCTTTCCTCCTCCTCCTCTCTTGCCTACATACACAACCTACAACTGAGGGGGAAAAAAAACTGTATTATAGTTGAACTAACCAAAATTGTATTGATATTTCCAGCTATCTTTATTTAACTATGAATGATGGGGGACAAATCTTAAGATTTTACTGGATGGGGCCATCAGGTGGCATGGTGGATTCCCACGTGGTCAACTGTGGTTTGAGTCCCAGACCTGGTAGCTTGAAACCCAGGCTGAGCACGTGTGCATGTGTGCAGGAGGAGAATAGAGGAGAAGAGATTATGGCATGACCCATCCTCCTGGGGCTGATTTTTCACTTTGTCTCTCTCTAGTAAAAGTATGTACCCTATAGCAAAAAAACTAAAAGAAGAAAAGACAATTTCACTGTTTTCATTTTCAATATGTAGGTGAGATTTCAAAATTTAAATTTAGTTCAAATTTATGAGCAATAGATATAAATCTATTAAAATATATATGGCAGATATTTCACATAAAAATGTTAGGTCATTGGGAAAGTCATGACATATTTTTTAATGTTTTTCTATGCAAAAATGCATCATGATGTTCCTGACAGCCCGATACATTTGGTAGAAGAGTGATACAATAGAATTCAATTTATAAAATTATCACCAATATCTCTACACATTGTACTTATTTTCTGATTTTCTTAACTTATACAACATTTTGACTAAATGTCAAACTCAAGTCTCGGTAAGGTACTATTAATATGACACTTTTTTTAATACTAAAGATTATTATTTCTTCTGCCAAATTCTGCGCATATGCAAACAAATTCGAGAATTGACCAATGTATGGTTAATCGTAACAAAACTATCGTCAATTGTTTACATGCCCTATGCACGTTTGCCTTGGCTGGAGCTGTGTGTACGGTCACCTCCAAGAATCCCAGAATAAGCCCTTGAGATAGCTGTATTATCCCCGCTATAAGCTGGTGCTTGGAAATGTTCAGTTGATTTTCCAAGGTGACTCAGGGCTAAGTCACGGTGCTGGGTTTCAATTCAAAGCCCATCTGGATACAAAATCCATTTCCTTCTCATTCCACTGCACTTTGAAGTTCACAAACTGCCTTAAATTGGATAACAATCCCTACCCATTTTCTCCACAGATTCGATCAGACTGTGAAGCAAACCAGAGGATTACATACCGAATCTCGGGGGTAGGGATTGATCGGCCACCTTACGGAGTATTCACCATCAATCCTCGGACTGGGGAAATTAATATCACATCAGTGGTGGACAGAGAGATAACTCCACTTTTCTTGGTAAGTCATGGCAGTGTGTTTGATATATTGATTTATATTAGTTTTCTTCCCTTTCTAAAATAAAATCATCTTGGGACTAGATAAAACAGAGTAGAATGAAATAAAGAACTTAAAGGAATAGGAAGATTGTGAAAATATAAATTAATAATTCAGGAGTCTTCTCTGTCTTACAGGTGAATGTGATCAAATGTCCTGATATTTAATTATTAGACTGTAATATAGTCTGAATTCACTGGAGAACTGTTCCGTTGCATATTTTCTCATGTGCTTTCAAATATTTGCCTAATTTTTATTCTTGGTGAAGAGAGACAGTTTCTTTCCCACTTTCCACAGATTTATTGTCGGGCTCTGAATTCACGGGGTGAAGATTTAGAAAGACCTCTTGAGCTTAGAGTCAAAGTTATGGATATAAATGATAACCCTCCAGTTTTCACACAACACGTGTACACAGCCAGCGTGGAAGAAAACAGTGATGCGAGTGAGTAGAATGATACCGTTTCTCTGCCTTACATCATATCTATTCAATATTTCTCATGGTCAAAAATTGTAGAAGATTGAGACACAGGTCATTTGAGTATCAGAAAAAGTCAAATTTATATTTTGAATAAACCCTACACACTTGATCCTACAAGTAAGAGAGAAAAAAATGTATAAGACTGCTAAATATCTTCCCATTTGAGGAAGATTCTTACCATGTGATTTAGCATATACTTAGCACCTTCCTCAGAGATTATTACTGAGCTCATGATTAACTTAATCCAAATGAGTACATTGAGGAAGAAACTATGACTACTTTTGAAGGTTCTGTTCTTGTCTATTCCTCAAAATTCTTAGCTGAACCATACCAGGTAGAGGGTGATGGTAAACACGTGTGTCATTGTACCCAGCAGATTAATCATTGAAGGTAATCATCAATCTTTATATCAAATTATATTAATTTTACATTGTTTTCAGTTCTTTCCGTCCTGCTTAACTCCATTTTTGGCTCTAGTAACCTTCTGCCTTTCCATCTTTATATTGATTCTCCTGAACATCGTTCCTTCTAGATCTTTTCCTTTTCCTATATTATTACTTCCCTCTCCTCTCCCTTTGCTGTCTGCCTCCTTTTATTTCAATCCTCTAATATCTCTTTC